TTGTTAGGGGCCATTGCATTGGCTCCGACCCATAGCGACCCTATGCACAAGAGCAGGAAGCGTGCCACACGGCTGCACCATTCTCACAATTGTTCCTAGGCCGGAGCCCATTGTTGTAGCCAGTGTGTCAATCTGTCTCGTCAAGGGCGTTCCTCTTTTTCTCTGCCCCTCTACTTTACCTAACATGATGTCCTTCTCCAGGGACTGGTCTCTCCTGACAGTATGTCCAAAGTATGTAAGTTTTGCCACCTTTGCCTCTAAAGAGCACTCTGGCCAGGCTTCTCCCAGTACAGAGTGCCAAGTATTTCCAGTATTCTTCTCCAACACCACAGTTCAAAGGCATCGATTCTTCTATGGTCTTCCTGATTCAATGTCCAACTCTCACATGCACAGGAGGCGATGGAGAATGCCATGGCTTGGGTCAGGCCCACCTTAGTCCTCCACATTACATCCTTGCTCTTCAGTACTTGGGTAGCAGTACTTATTTGTGCTGCTAAAGAGGTTTTGTGCAGCAGATTTACCTAATGCAGCATGTCTTTTGATTGCTCGACCGCTGCTTCCATGAACACTGATTGTGGATCCAAGTAAGACAGAATCCTTGACAACTTCAACTTTTTCTCCATTTATCAGAGTATAAAACTTTATCTGCATAGCACAATTTTACCACTCCATATAAAATTCTGGAGCCTGGTGGCAAACTTGGTTAACTTTGGGCTGCTAGTCACAAGGTCAGCAGTTTGAACCCACAAGCTGCTCTATGGGAGAAAAATGAGGCTTTCTGCTCATGTAAAGATTTACAGCCCTGGAAAGTCAAGGCAGAGCTATACTGTCTTATAAAACCCAAACCAAATTCACCGCAATCAAGCTGATACCAACTCATAGCAACCCTAGAGGGCAGGGTAGAACCACCCTTGTGGGTTTCTGAGGCTGTAACTCTCATCTTCTTCCCTTGGAGTTACTGGTGGCTTTAAACTGCTGACCTTGTGGTTAGCAGCCCAACACATAACCAGGACAACATGGACTCAATAGCAGTGGATGTGTGATATTTTAAAATCTTAACTTAAAATATTATAAGTGAAATTACATTCTCCCACATCTACATATACATCCATAAACATGATGTATAAACTCCCTCCTGTTATTTTCAAAGGGAAGGATCCAGCAGACCACACCTGTTGCAATGTCAACTCCAACATTTAAGAAACTAATCATAATAGAATAGACACTCATGATTTTTGGACATTAAAACTCAGGAAGATCCATTTCTATGAAGAGATCGCTAAGTCACTGCTCTAAAGAAGTCAATTCTTCTCAGTCCAGAGGACCCTCCCGGAAGACTCCACGGCATTGCTTTCGACCTTCCCACATTTGCATGTAGATCCTCCCTCGACTCTGACTTCTCTGAAACTCCTTCTATATTGACATTATGTTCGTGGAGCTCTACCTTTTGCCTCGATCATCTAAATACGTACTATGATTTGTAGTCCACTAGTTTTTGTCATGTAATCTCATATGCTTTTTTCTGCACAATTATACAAAAACATGCCAAATGCAAAAACACCCCCAAAGAACTAGCTGTGACAAGCCTTCTTTGAAACCTCCCACATTGACATCAGTGTAAATTGAAAGCACAAGTTCTCCTTTTAGTAGCCATTTCTATTTTATTAGTCATCTCTTCTCTTCTTGCGGTCCAATGAACAAACCTGACTCAATTACACCCACAAATGCCACTGCCCAGATTCTGAGGAACTCGAAGTGTGAGGGAATTTTCAAAAGGCTTCACCACCACGAAGGTTTCACAGTGGAGGGGGTCTGATGAAGGGACGCTACAAAGACACAGAGCTGAAGGAAATAAGGAGAAGCAAGTGATGGTTGGGACCAAGGGACCTGAGCAGGGTTTGTGTCCCTGGGATAAAACCAAGCACAATTGTCCTCCTACTTTAAGGAAGATTTAGTCTATTCTTGACTAATATACTATGGTGGCTGCTGTTCTTTAAAGCTAGCTAAAAGCTGCCCGTGTTTGAGCTCCGTTCTTG